TCACCTGGTCAAATACCAATCTGGATTGTGGTAAATTTTCAGACTCTAAAAAACTGCAACTAAAGCTGCATAAGCTGCATTTATTTGGTCACCAACTCTGCCAATGCTTTTTAAGCTTGTAGGTAGGAAAAAGGGAGACATTTCATGGAGAGGCAGGAACAGTCAGAGTGGTGATATATGAATACATACATATATATACACACACATGTATATATAAAACAAGTGGGTGGACTGTCTGTTTCTCAAATAAAATCTTTCATCATTCCTAGTACCAAGAAGTGGTGGGGTAATGGTGCAAAAAAATATGGACCAGCATGGGCTGAATAAAGAACAACCAACAGAGCTGCTTGACAGGGATCATTTGCATCACAGTGATGCTGAGTTGACTACTCCCATGGCAGTCCTGTAACTGTCTACAGGCAACTTGGACTTGGCTTTAGAGTAAAATTCATGTCAGTGAAGGTTCACCTGCCCAGAAATAGCCTTTGAGTTTGTTTGGCAGGGGGCTGTCAATTATTTTCCATATGAAGGGAACCGCAGGAAAGTAGACTGTTTTGGTTCATTTCAAACATTTTTTGGCATCCTTTTCCTTTATGCAGTCCTATTTTTACAAACTTGAAATTGTGGCTGATTTTCTGATGTGCGTGTTCTAGTTATTGAGCTTTTGTTTGATCAAAATATAACAAATTGGCTGAACAAAACAGGTGAACAGAATTCAAACAGCTTGAGAGTTTAAATGCTGCCAAAGTCTCAGCTCTGTGTTAACCCTCTGTAATACTGATAATGAATCAATTGCTACTGATAAAGATAAAAGCAGATTGTAAACTGTACTAATATTCATCATGTGGGGAAAAAAAGCAGGTATCTTTAGACTTTTTTTCTTGTTAAAGTGCTGTCCAGGTTTAACCCAACCTGGCAACACAGCCCCACCCAGCTGTTTGTTCCATTCTCCCAGGTGGGATGTGGGAGAGAATGAGAAGATTAAACGTGAGAAAACTCATGGGTTGAGATAAAGACAGTTTGATAGGTAAAGCAAAGCTGCAAGGGCAAGCAAAGCAAAGCAAGGGATCCCTTCACCACTTCCCATGGCAGGCAGGAGTTCAGCCATCTCCAGGACAGCTGGGCTCCATCACGTGCAACAGTGACTTGGGAAGACAAATGTCATTTCTCCAAAGGTCCTCCCCTTCCTTCTTCTTCCCCCATCTCTATATGCTGAACCTGACATCATCTGGTCTGGAATGAATCACCTGTGACCAGTTGGAGTCAGCTGTCCCAGCTGTGTGCCCTCCCAGATCCTTGTCCCTTCCCCAGCCCACTCGTTGGTGGGGTGGGGTGAGGAGCAGAAAAGTCCTTAACTATGTGTGAGCTCTGCTCAGCAGTAACTAAACACCCCTGTGCCACCAACACCATTGCCAGCCCCATACCAGCTGCTATGAAATGATCCCAGAAAAATAAAATGACAAATGCATAGAGAAATTGACATATTTGTACAAGTAGCATTAATTACCAGAAGCTTTTATCAGAATTACTCAAGCTACACTCCACAGACATCTTGTTATATGTAGTGAGCTTGATTCTGGTTTTAGCTGTGGTAGTTTTATTCTGGTGAGGTGGCCCTGAATTTATCAGAGTTCCCCCTCACATACACTTGGAGATGATAAAATCAGGTCATTGTACATCAGAAATACAGGATCTGGAGATCATATTGCTCCATTTCCTTCAGCTTCATTTAAGCAGCTACTTGAGCCATCTGTGGTTTCAGTAATCTAGAGATGGTTAGGATTAGGTTTAGGTGATTTAGGTTAGGATTTACATTATGGTATTTTTCCTTAGATGACATTCCTGCATTAAAAGCAGAAATCATAGTGTTAACTTTTGGCATGTTCTACTCCCTGTAGTTTGTCCTCCCACAACTTCTCTCACCAACCCCTCATCTGAGCTGGACTGTATTGCAAAGTAATACAAAAGCATTAAAATAAATAGCATCAAATGAAGTCATTATTTGAATTTGATGAAACAATTCTCTTCATTGTTCTCTTGAGACTATGCACAGCATTTAGAATTCTATGTGTTAGTGACCATTAGCTGCCAGGCCATTCTATCAGTTGGATTTCATGAGCAGCTGAATTATCTTGCATGGTTTTGAGGTTTAAACAAAAGGATCATATCATTCAATTAACAGATAAATTAGTGACTTGCTGTACAGATAATGACTGAATTTACCTTTAGAATTAAATTTACAAAAAGTGACTTTTTTTGAAGTATGATTTCCTACTTTTTATTTTGGTAGATTTTGTTATTATAACCTCAAAAACTTTGAGGTTGCCAATTCTTTGGTTTTTTTTGGTGAACATAGTTAAGTATATATCTGATAAGAGTTTGGCTTAATTAATGTATGCAACATAGGGGAAAGAGAAACACTTAGTGCTCTTCTTCTTTCTGTGCTACCTAGTACTTTAGAAGGCTTTGCATTTTTTATAATTGTGAAAGCATTGTGATGTTGGTCATGAATATTAGTAGCTGTTAAAGAAAAAACATGTTTCAACATCCATTCAGCCACAAGGAATTCTTTCATTTTATCCACGGGAAGCTGAGATGGGTGCTTTGTGTGCCAGGGATACTCATGTCTCTGGATGTAAGAAATAGGTTGCATTTCCATTCTATTCATCTGACAAAATCGAGTTCTTCCCAGACAAGCAACAGGTCCATAGCCTTAATCTTCTTCCCCTGATGCTGCCCTGAAAAACACACGTGTATTATTCGTGATAAGGATCAGGGATCCTTGGGAAGTCTCAGACCTGTAATAAATTTTGGCCAGGCCTCACCTCACTGTGTGATTCAGGTGCTTGGTGGGCATCAGTTGGCATTTGAGACAACCAAGGTTACCCAGCCTGGCTCCCAGCTTCCTCTTCATAAGGAATGGGTCTTCCACAGGTCCTGTGTTGTGTGTACAGGTCACGTACAGACCCTTCAGATCTCCTGTGGTATGAAATACATGACCCTAACGCCATTCTAAGGCACCAGCACCCACCCATGGTGCCTCCTCAAGTGTAATTAGAGGTCCCATGCAGCCTAGACCTCAAAGCACTGCATCCTCCCACCCTCTGTGAGCAGCTCACAGTCCTGTGTGCACAGAAATAGCTCCATTCACAAGCAGCCAAACTGGAGAGGGTTTGTGTCGCATCCTCAGACATAGAGTGGCAGAATAAAGATACCTTAATCATTATTAGAGCTGAGCTTTCAAACACCTTTGCTTAGGGAATCTGATTTTCTTAATGGCCTTTGTTATGTTCCAGTAAAAGGAGGTAGGGTTTGGGTTTTTTTCCCCCACACATTCAAAAAAACAAGACCTTGTTAACTGCTCCTAAGAACTAAGTTTCATAATTCAATTTTATTGCCTTTATTCCTGGGTTACCACTACCCTAGTATAGTGTGAATTTTAATTAACACAGTATCTCATTATATAATTCCCTAAGAAAATACACACTTGGGGTAAATGTTACATCATGCTATCAAACAGTGGTTGCAGAACAGCCCAGGTTTGCACCCCAGGTTTTACTGAGCAGTATTAGGCTTGGACAGGGGAACATTTAGGAACACGGTACCTGCTTACATTGTGCTTTGCTTCAAGTCATTCCTTTGTTTGTAAAAGTATAAACAAGTGGTGCCCAGCAACAGGACAAGGGGACACAAACTGGAACACAGGAAGTTCTGCCTAAACATAAGGAAAAACTTTGCTGGGAGGGTGCAGAGCCTGGAGCAGCTGCCCAGAGAGGCTGTGGAGTCTCCTGCTCTGGAGAGATCCCAAACCCACCTGGATATGATCCTGGGTAATGTGGTCAGGGTGACCCTGAGGTTGAGGGGGTGATCTTCAGAGGTCCCTTCCAACCCCCACCATGCTGGATTCTGTGATGCACATGCATTTCTGCCAGAGCAATAGTTATAACCCTGAAGCAACTACTGCCTGCCTCGCTGGGTGGTGGCTCATCCTTCCCTGTTGCCTTCATTCAGAAGTCACTGTTTGTATAGTATTAAAAATGCTGAAAGTGCTCCCAAACTGCTGTTTCCAGAATGATGCCTGTCAAAAGCCTGTCCCTACTCTCTGCTGATGCTGCATGACTCCTGTGGAGAGGGGCAATGCCTGGCCAAGGACCTCTGCCCCTGAAAGCATGCAGACCTGGGCAAACATGAACTTTGAAGTCTGCCACAAATATGGTCAACACGGGGGACCTGGCTGTCGGCCACAGGAGTGGGTGGGGGTGAAAGAGAACTTCTCCTTTCCTTTTTGCAAACTCTGTCCAAGCAGACATCCTCCTGACTGCATTCCTTAAATCTTTTATGCTGTAAATGCAGTAGGGGATATAAAAAGCAGCCGTATGTGTGTGTGCTTAAGGGTTCTGCACGTATTTTTGAAGGTGGATGAAGTTAATGGGTGGAAAGTCTGTCTCTGAAGGGCTCCTTGAGTGAGTGGAGGTTGTCACTTAAAGCTCTATAGCATCAGAATCCTTGCAGTGAAGGTAACAACAAATCAGAGAATGAGCTGTTCTTGTCATTTCTACATAATTGTGTAAAATTCCACGGCCGTGGCAGTTTTTGTTTTGATAATCCTTTTGGTCTCTTCCCTTTCCTCTCAGTTCTTGAAAATCCATTTCCTCCCCAAATTTCCAGAGCTTGCCAAGGTCAGCACGTTTTCTGGCTCCATGTGAACTCTTCCCACCCTCCAAGCACCTGGTTTGCTGACCTGGGCTGCGTCCCCCTGACACCCCACCTCCCGTTCCCCGAGCTGGCCCTGCCTTCTGCTGGTCTCCTGACCCCAGCGGGGGTGTCCCAAAAGCCCTGGGACCCCCCCAAGCTGAGGCAGGAAGGGGTTGCCCATCAAATGGGGAACTAATTCCAAGGTTGGCCAGAGACGGCGAAACCGGGTCCCGTGTCAGTAAACCTTTGAAGACTCTTTCTCCCAGGGCACGCCAGCTGATATGCTGTGTTTGTGGTTTTTCCAGAGATCCCTTTGGTCTTGTACCTCTTTGCCCTGATTTCCATCACCTGGCTGTGGGGAGGGCTGCACATGGCTTACCGGCACCTCTGGATGTTAGTCTTCTTCATCATCTTCAACAGCCTGCAGGTAAGAGCTGCTGCCTTCTCCTGGAGAAGCCTGGGGGGGCACCTCCACCACTCAGGGTGTGTTTGGGGTGTCGGCTTCACCAGCTGCCTGGCATCCAGAAACACAGCGTGACCTGGCAGAGGTGTTAATTATGTGTTCTGTTTATTTATCAAATTAAACTATAGAGTGCGTATTCAAGCAAAGGGATGCATTGTTTTGAAACTGCAGCATCCTCATTGCACAGGTTTAATCCCATAGCTAATATATTGTTAAAGCAAAGGGTTTTTTTGGTAAAAAAAAAAAATAATACAGGCTGGTTGTTGATGATTGTTTATAAAAATACAAATATCCCTGTGCAAAATGTTACACAGCTAAGTGCTTTCAGTCAGCTCAGGACTGCGTTACGCTGTGTTCAGTGTCATGCTGCACGTTGCAGAATTATTTACAGGATAAAGGTTAGTGTGTCACAGATGGGAAAACGCCTCTGATGTCAGTGAAATTAAGAGGGATTAAAAATATAAATATATATATCCAAATCTGTGGTGTGCAAATTTCTCTGTCATATTTTATTATAGAAGTACCTGTGATGCCAGGTATTGTTTTCTCATATTAAAAATCTCTAGACCTCATGAAATAAAAAAGCTATTCAGTATGTGTCTTTTCACAAAAATACATTTATTTTAGATTTGAATTCTAAAGGTGGGAGTTGCTTTTAACAGCTATCTAATATTTTCAAAACATACATCTCAGCCATAAATTCTTTTTTTTTCAATTGAAGAAAAAATGTTAGCTTATTCTCCTCACATTGCATTTGATTATTTTATATATTTTGTTAATGAAGTATTCTGTATTTTTTGGTGTATATTTGCTCAAATTAGTTATTATTTTTTTAATATTTTTTTTTCAATCTCAGTGAAGAAGGAAACCCCCATGAGAGTTTTAGTGCTGGAACTGTAACTGCTGCAGCTTTATAGTGAAACTCAATGCACTGATATAAAACATAAACACTTTGGTGATGTTTATGTAATTACATGCAGATATATATAGATCTAGATATATATAAATATTGATGTGTGGATACATATATGTTTTTTTATGTCTTTTTGACTCTCTACAAAGAATTAGTACTAGAATCTGATCTTGGGTTGTGTGACACGGAACTATCTCAACTACAAATTTTTGAAAAGGGTCATTTGTTGTAACAGAGATTTTATTGGTGTGGTAAAATAGTGCCAGAGCACTGAAATATGCATGGATATTTGCTTTAAAATAAAATAACTTTTTTTGCCAGTGCATATATAGAGAAGAGGGATACAACTATGTGAAAGTTCCTGTCTTGGCTAGAATCTTGACTCCTCTGTGCAGCTGTGAGAAGAGACCTTATGCTAGTCTGCTTTATATAACTTGAAATTTCATTTTATTCAAGTAAATTCTGAAGCCATAGAATTATTTTTATTTTAATTCATGTTGCCACTTTCAAGACACCAATTCATGGGTTGGACCAAGAAGTAAAACAGACTTTTGGAAGCCAGTTGTGTAGAACATGAGGCCCTCAAGATGTGTCTGGGATTTATTGCTCGTGTGGTTCAGTATGATAGGGAATATAAAAAACCATATTTCATAGGGGGTATGAAAAACACAGGTATAAAATCACGCCTAGAATAACGTTAAATCATGACTGCTGTTGGAGATACACCACTGAATGACCCCAGTGTTGGGTTTTTGTTTCAAGTGAGGTGATACCAGAAATATTTGCTTTTCTCAATCTAGCTGAAGTTTTTCGGTTGGTTGAATTTAATGCTCTTATTGTAGTTTTGTTTCTATTCATGCACTCTAAAATCTTTGAACTTGAGGAAGTAATATTTTTTTTTATGATTTTATTGGTTATTTGGGTGTTAACTGGTCTTTTATCAGCATTGTTGGTCCATACAAAAGTGAAATGCCAGGTCATACATAACTCTTCTGTGCTTCTGCTGGAGTTTTTCTGGGGGCATGATAATTCCAGAAATATTTCTACCACAATTTCATGCAGATAAAAGAATTTCTGTACGTATTGTTTTGATACTGAAGGACCTAATATAAATCACTCTTCACTATCAAGAGCTGTCTGCTTCTGTGGGCTGTGTGCTGCAGCAGGTCGTGCACAAAGATCAAACAACCTCTGCTGGCAGGTGCGTTTCTGATCTCTCAAAGGCACGTCCCCAGTTGCACCTCCACCCTCAAACGAGACAGCTGGCAAACACACCTTCAGAAACTTCATCTGAAATCCTACAGAGGAGATACAAAGTGAAAAAATTTGCTGAAAAATTAAAAATACCAGCAGAGATCATCTCGTTTCTATTGGGATCGGTTCATTTCATGATAGCATGATAGATGGTGATGTGTGCAGAAGAACTATAGAACTGTTATTTTATTTGGTATTTAGATAAAAAATATCTGTTATTTATCCCTGGAGAATCTCTTAAGTCTTCAAATATAAAATAAATATTCCTTTACTGAAATGATATGCAAAAATTCCAAATGTATAAACTTTTCCCAATTAATATTATCTTCAAATATAAAATAAATATTCCTTTACTGAAATGATATGCAAAAATTCCAAATGTATAAACTTTTCCCAATTAATATTTTAGATTAAAATGTGCATGTCTGGAGCTCTGACTCCCTCCATAGAAAATAAAAACTTTTTCTTCCAGCTATGAGATGCTGCAAAACTTCACACTTCATGTTTTAAAAATATTGGTTTAATTTTCATTCTTTTAAGTGTTTGGGTTTTTTTTTTAATCCATTGATGGAGTTGTTTGTTTTTGTTTTTTTTTTTTTAAAGGTAATAGGGCAGTATCCATAAACTTTTATTATAAGACATTGGAAATTACTTTTTGAAATATAGAGTTACCATGCATTTAAAAGGAAAATATACCCTTTTTGTGTTAGGTACCCTGAGAACAGTAGAAAAAAATAGAGTAATTCTTTCACAGTACTACAGTTTTTATATTTGTTTATTTGTTTTAATAGGTGATTGTCTTCAGTGCTTTGTAAAACTCTACAATAAAACAAGTTTAAAAAAAAACCATTTCCTGGAACACCCCCACATTTTAAATAACCGCCCCTCGTATATTGTTCTCTTGTTTTAAAGTTACCATTTATCTAATCAGGAAGCAGAAAAACTGACCTCTGGTTCAGGTGGCCAGACGTGCAGCATGAAATGAAAAACAGGGAAGGAACAAGGTGAAGAGTCTGTAAATTTCCTTTATCAGTGCTTTTCACCAAATAACCAGATACACCCAATGGGCTTAGAGAAAACGTTGAGTAGGCAGCCTGTGCAGAAGAAAATGATGTGTTACAGGTGGAGGGCACTGAAGAAATGAGTGTTTGGCTGTAGGCAGGCATAGTTTTATAAAGCTTTTGCAGACCACACTCCCACTAAAGAGAGGCTGGTCTTGGGAGGCACACCCTGCCTTGCTGAGAGGTCCTTTTGGGCTGCAGAGCCAGGTTCATTCACAACGTGGACAGCTGTCTCCAGCATCCTTTGAAGCTTTAACCTCAGCCCAGCTGTTTGGGAATGGGAGGGGAAAATGGTACTTAGCAGTGGATAACACTCTCACAATGATTTCAGGAGGAACAAACTCTCTGTTGGTGCATGCTGTTGGCATCTCGTTCCCACGCGTGATGTCTTTATCAGCCCTCAGAACTGATAATGGTTACTACAACAACACTGTTTTTCAACAATAAAAGGCAGTTTTACCATTTATTGGTAGGCATTTCTGTTACACCACATACCTCGTTGCAGCTGGAAGGCGATTTGGTGTTCATTAAGAGGTTTTCTCCAATAGGAAAGAGACCATGAATTAATTTATGAGAAATAGAGACCTGCTTCCCTGCTGCTCAGCAGCTACGGAACATGTCACAAAGCAGAACGTGACCCATTAGGATGTGGTGGGTTTACAAAGGGATTCAGCTCGGGAGACTGGAAGGATGCTGCCTGTTATCCAGTTCAGTTGTTTAGCCTTGTGACGTCCATTTCCTAGGAAATGCACTTGATAGGAAAATCATCTACTGAGGACAAATTGTTTCCGAGCGCTTCCTGCGGGAAACGGTTCCCATCAGAGATGAGTTTATAGTAACGAGCTGTCCTAGTGCATGGAGGGCAAAGCAACCCTTTCCCTGCCTCTCCAGGAATAAACACGCAGAGTGGGACAATAGCTGGTTTACAAACTAAAAAATACATTTAGAAAAGCATGAAAGGAAAAGGATAAGAGGCACGTTTGGGATATCTGATGTCTTGAGTTCCTCAGCAGTATGCTCCTGATTATCCTACCCAGGCAGCATCCGTGTTTTAGAAACATACTCCATGCTCTCAGGTCAAAGGCTTCTTCATCTTTTCACCTGTAAAACTGAGAGGAGCATCTACCTCTTTTCTTTACATGATTGCCATTGTGGATTTATTCATAAGGCATTTGCTGAGGTCAGGAGTGGAAGACTTAAGCCACGGTCTCATGGGCTTCTCTTTAAAGGTTAAGATTTCACAAGCTGCTCTGCATACACTATACTCTTTCAGAAAAACAGTGGCTGTGTTTTTCATGCAGTTAGGGGGTGTTTCTGGTCTGTATTGCTAACGTCATCAGAGGCATATTTGCCGTTCGATGGATCCAAAGTTCAGGGCGGTGGGTGGACCTCTTCCCATTGTTTGCAGATGGGTTGGGATGAGGCTTCAGACTCGTTCTCAGGCTCTTCCCTGCAGCTAACTTTCTTCGTATAATCTTGATTATTTGGCTATATTTCCAGCAGACTCCACTGGACAGCCTAGCCCTCTATCTTATAATTTAGAAACAGCTATTTGTTGGTTAGTGTCTTAGAGTGTAAGGACTCAGATCTTGCGTATATAGATAAAGCCTAGCACACTCTACAGGAAAACATGGATCTTGCATATGTAGATAAAGCCTAGCACACTCTACAGGAAAACATGGATATAGTAATAATAATATATTTCAAGGATATTCTCCCTGGAACATCTTAAACTA